TAATTATAGCATTATACGTTTTTTTTCTAATTTTGAATAGGGTAGCCAAATAGGTTCCCGGTCTTGTAACATAAATTCCTTTTGACAGTGGAAGGGTCCCTCCCATACCCCTCCCCTGTAAAAATATAAAGATCTAAATATGGGATCCAGGATGTTATCCAGCCCCCCGGGCAATGTACCTTTATAATTATAGTATTTTACGTTTTTTCCAATTTTGATCGGGCTAGGTAAATAGGTGTCCGGTCTTGTAATATAAATTTCTTTTGAGGTTTGAAAGGTCTCTCCCATATTCCTCCCTTGTAAAAATATATGAGTCTAAATATGGGATCCAGGATGTTAGTCTGCCCCCGGGTCATTTACTCTTATGTACATACTTTTTTTCCAATTTTGACCGGGCTAGCTAAATATTCATCATTTTGGTCAGGCTAGCTGCATTGGTTTGGGGTCCTCACTCTTCTTCTTTAAGTGATGTCTTTGCTTTTCTTCTTAAACACGGATTATAATGTGTTATTAAGGTTTTTTGAAAAAAAAAATTATTAGGACATTTACGGTAATTTGAATAGCGAACGGCAGACAGCCTGCGGTTCGCCATTCGAATGGCGAATAGCGAATAGCGAATAACCGTCCAACTTCTGATTGCCTGTTTAGCCTAGTGGTCCTAGATGAGAAGTCAAAAATATGAAAAAATTTATGGACTCCAGAAGAAAGACAAGCGCTGGGACTGGACATTTTCGATCAGAAAAAGGTAACTTGAGACTTCAACTTAAGTGCAGTGTAAAAAAAACAGACTAGAAAATCGTATGAATAATCTATCGTTGTAACTACTTCATGTATTCAATTTTCTTAATTTTCCCACTTGTAAATTGAGCTACAAATAGATTGTCATCTTTGTCAACACATATACCATATGGATGACATAAATCACAGTTGTCTATGTAACACAGAAACTGGCCATTCTGGTCTAATATGTGTATACAATGGTTGTCAGTGTCTGCTGTCAGGATCTGACCCTGGCTGTCTGTCGTGATTCCATGTGGCTTGAAAGGGTTCTTTCTGGCAACGGATGCCTGCCCCCTGTATATGAATCTCGATTTCCCTGACTGATTGACCACCACTACTGCCCCAGCACCGCAATCAGCAACGCAGATATCCAGATTTCTGTTCTCGCTAACGTGTTTAACCATATTAGCGGAATTCACGGAATACAGAGGATTGCCCTGATCATCAAATTGAACCGTTTGTTTTTCTGAGGAACCAGAGTAACGGACAAGTTTGCATTGTGTTGTATTAACACTGTACATGGTAACCAAGATGTCGCCAGAAAAGGTAGCACACAGATTTTGAGGAACCCAATCCTGAAGTTGGATCAATTCCTCTGTTTTACCATTATTCCTCACAACATTAACAGTTCTGGTAGTTGAATCGGTATAGAAAAGATCGTTTGTATTTGTTATGGCAAGATCCATGGCACTTTTTCCTGATTTTGTGGAAATGGTGTTCAGCAATGAACCACTAACATTAAAGCATTTTATTTCATTGGTCAGGTTTCCTATCCAAATTTCTTCGTCATTTCGGCAGGTAACATTGTGTAGCGATATGTATCCAGTGTATATGCTGGTTATGAGAGTTGGTTCATGGAGCAGCTGTTTCAGTGGAGGAGAGGAGGCAATTTCTGGCGCCTTCCTACTGTAACCTCGCTCTCTATGTGTTATGGAAATTGGTGTCAGAAAACCAAACAATTTGGAAAGCTGTCTCGGAGAACTTTGTGAAACAAACGCCGGAAACTTAACGTCAACCCACGGTGGATCTTTCTTGAAGTCCTCAGTACATATTTCAAAAGACAAACATTTCAATATGTCATTTGATTTCAGAATTTCCTTGATTTGAGATATAGTAATTTCAATATTTGAAATCGATCTTTTGATAAAGCTTAAATTCCTTTGCAAAGTATCTGAGTGCTTTTGTTTCTCCTCACTGATTTGATCTTTCAATGCTTTAACGAGTATATCAATTTCTCTGTGCCATTCTTCTCCTTGTTTGGTTACAGCGCATATGAGTTTTTCATATTCCTCATTTAGGCCATATAAATTGGTTCTTAAATCAATTGAGGCATCTTTATACTTGGGATAAATACTATTCATAATTCTGCTTTCTTCCTTTTCCAGAAATTCTTTCTTTGAGTTAAATATCTCCTGTATATGTCTGAAACAATGTCTCTTGTGTTTCATGGATGTAACACATTGTGGACAAACAGGAGTTTTGCATTCCTCACAGTACATTTCACATAGCTCCTCGTCGTGAGTATTACACCGGGGGAAAATGAATTTTGATTTTCTCATATCAAAAGCTACTATATCATGTTTTTGTGAATTGTCAGAAAGGTGCTCCCCGACGCACTTTTTACAGAGGTTTGTGAGACATAGAGAACAGAACATCTGTACTATGCGTTTCCTGCAAAGATCACATCTTACGACGTCCTGGGAATGTTTTCCAGCTTCCATTTTATTTTGAGGATATGCCTGAAAAGGATAGAATTTATTTTGGAATGCAGTTACTATTCTTGGTTACTCTCCAATGTGTTTTTCTATCATTGATACAATACCAAAATTATGCTGATGCATCGATCATGCACCTTCAAAGACTCAGTATTATAGCATTATACCAGCGACTGGGCCTCTGTAAAAATCCTATAATGTAGTTCCTTTCTGAGTCACACAAAACATGCTTGTCGTGTTTTGGGAACCTATAATCATAAGAAAAACAATAATCGTTTAATTTCATATTATGTTGGTTCCAGTCTGCTAAAGAGATTTTTGAAAATAATAAAAAGTTCCGCTTTGCCGGTAGTTTCTCTAAATTGTTTGCTATTTTCCCCCTCTGTTATAAAATTAATATAGAAAGAATACAACAAAATTACCTTGTGACATGGCGTCTATGCTCATGAACTTCCTGCTCTAGCTGGTTTTATAAGTAATACTTAAACAATAGTATTTTAAGTGTTTACTGCTACAAACATTCACATGTGACTTTTTTGTCCATATTGTGTTTAAGGTTTCGATACTAGTTTATATTTTAGCGTTGATGCAAAGTGCTTTAATGTTCTCTAAATTTTGATATGCGATATAAAATTGGTAAGAAGAAATTCTTTCTTGCTTACCAACAATGCTAAGATAATTTTGGTGTGTTTCTTGTAATTTTTAAAGTCTCGATACTCTTGAATTCGTATTTCTAAAACACTGATTGAAACAAATCAAATAGGAGCAATACGTGTAACTGACGTGAGGTATATAGCATAATGTAGTATATATTAGTACATGGATAAGATACGATTAATAAATAATTATGCTTTGTTTTGTGGTGTAAGAATGAAGAATCACCGAGTGATATTCTAAGTAAAACATGTAAAAGAAAGCTCGTCAAAAATATAGTCAAAAGATATGCTTGAAATAGAAGAAACAAAAGAGTCTGCCACATACATGTATGTTTCACATACTCGGGATATTTGGATGTTTTTAAAATGACTATAGACCAAATATAGTATGACAAACAAGATGACTTCAACTTTCCCGACGTCTTTTTTGTAGTAATATTCCATTATTACCTGCGGAGGTTGTGTATATTTGTCCCCTTAATTTACAATCCGCCACCCAGCAGCTTGCTCTATCAGTACGATCAATTTTGTTTAAAGCGAGACATGCTACTCATTGATAAGTTGATGTTACAAGGGTCAATGCATAAACAAGTTCCTTTTAAGTCGGCATTTTGTAAACACTGTGGTAAATATAATGACCTTTTTAGCAAATTCTACCCATCATTCAGTCGTATTTTGGCTGACTTGTTTCTAGACGGCCTTTTATACGGAAATTTCCGTCTATAATCTGATATATACGGGCTCACGCGGGTGTGACCGGTGTAATCGTGAATTCTTTCGCAGGGGGTGCTTAATTGTTGGCATTTGATTCGATTTCTGGAATTTTATTCCAGGATTTCGTCAGGGTTCTCTCTCTCTCTCTCTCTCTCTCTCTCTCTCTCTCTCTCTCTCTCTCTCTCTCTCTCTGTATTTGTAAATGTTTATAGATTTCTTTTTAGTTCTTTGTTCTTTTCAACTTTCACATTCTGAGTACGAAAAATAAATAATTAAAAAATAAATTTAAAAAAAAAAGCATGGAAGTTTAAGAGAATTTTGAACTGAAAAATCAAGTCAAAACATTGTTTTCAATCTTAATTGTTAATTAAGTGTTACAAGCGACACCCTTAGGGAATATTGTTCGCGCACCTGCATCCGGGAAAAAGATTTCTGTACTAGTTATTTCTGCTTTTCTTTTAAGAACAACAAACTGAATGACAACAAAGTTTCAAACTTGAAAAGTAAATACACAATATCATCATAGAAAAGTCGCTTTGAAAGCTGCTGATTGATGGCATTTGCGAAACCACCAGCAAAGAGTATGAAACTCCATGTTAAACATGGTATGGGTTTTCGGAATTTTATTTTGTATAGGCTAATATGTCAGTTTACTCATTCCGAATTTTCTCAGTAAACTTAAAACTGTTAAAAGTGTTTTCACTAGGAACAATGTTGAAAAGTGATAGACTTTTAGGCATGTTTTTAAAAAAATGAGCTATTCAAAGGTTGAAATTATGTCAAGCATGAAACTAACACAGTCATTTTTTAAAGCAGTCAGCTGTAGTAGGTAAATTATTAATTTAAAGCCAATAAAGGCTTGAAAGGTTTGTGTAAGGAATCACTGTCTAGTTAAATTAGTTTTACGGAGCCTAGCTCTCGAGTCAATTTCAATTGTCCCCACCTACTGACATCAAAGACAAAGACAGCCACACAAGATTTACATACTGTAAATGCATATTAGGCCTACTTAGAGTAAGACACTATAGGACAGACACACAAGATTTACATCCATACCGGGCCCCCATAGCGCCTGACATTTCTTGCCGAAATTTACATTCCGGTAGAATGATCAAGAAATCAAGTTTACTAACTTTCAAAGAATTATCACAAACAAAACAAATAGAAATGGAAATTTGTTTATATGTATGCTCAGACTGTTGGCCACTTGTCAGTGATAGTGAAATGAGATTTTATTTGTACAGGCACCAAGGTTTATGATATTAAGTTAGAAGCTGACCAAGGGAATGTACTGACAGTCAAAGACTTAGTGAAAAAGATCTATGAAGTTACAGAAATTCCACCAACCAATCAAAAGATTCTTTATAAAGGTAAAAGGGTTCAATTCTTTTTTCAAAATTTAAAGAAACAAAATTTTGAATTTGATCTCCTTGTTTTGTTTGAAGAAAGAATATTTTTTAGCCAAGCTACCCGGTAAATGAATTTGTTTCAGAATTCTACATCCCCTCACAACTCTGTTGTAAAGGGATAATTAATGAAATCGACCTTAGTAAAGATGCATTTGAATTTATTTACATATTTTACACTTTTTTCAGCCCAAATATTTCTTACATGAAATAAAACATTGTTGCTGTTTTTGCTCACAAGAACATTTTTATTTACAGGCAAAACTTTAAACAAAGACCCAGAGGCATATCTGAGCTCCATTGGATTAAGTGACAATGCAAAAGTCATGCTTCTTGGAAAACGGGTATGGGGTCATTCTTTCATTTTAGACCATTAAATTAATTTTTTAAAGTTTCTTGTCTTCAATAATTTATAAGTTCCTTTTTGTGATAAATTATTTCATGAAAGCAGATAATAGGGATAAATCACATTTGATAATCAGTTTTTCATAAATACTTAACGCATATATATACTGTGTATGTATCTTCTGTAATACAAATTCAGAAATATATACCATTAAGGACATTTATCATGTTTAGGAGATATAAATATTACTTAATTTTAAGAGAGAGTAGAAAATTTGAACACATTGCTTATTTATTGTTAACATAAGTTACAGCATTGTTAACCACATTTTCTGACTTGCTGATTTTAGCCTGACCCCCTAGATGACAAGGAGATGGGGAGACTTCATAATATAGAACAGTCTCTAAAGAAGGAGGAAGAAAAACTAAGTGAGGTCACGTATGAGCTGGACGGAATACACAGGGTAGGGAGAAATTCTCACCCACAATGGAAGAATGTTATTTTATACACATATTTCCTTCCCTCAAAGTTCTACTGTCCATTACATTTAGTTTTGATATCCATAACAAAACTGTAAATTCTTGATGGAAAATATATGATATATTCATTATTTTTTACAATGAGTTAATTTCATTGTTTAAATTACTCTATTAAAAATTGTTTATTCCTTTTTACAGGGATTTATGGATGAATCTTTAAAGGCCCCCGCTTTACAGAAGAGTAAAAAGAGAGTTGCCCATGTGATAGAACAATACATGAAAATGCTGGAGGCCTTAGACAGCTTAAATCTAGATGAACACAATACAGGAGGGAGGGCAAAACGTAAGAGTCTTGTGGACAGAATTCAGGTATGTACACGATCAGGATCACAGGCCATGCTTTTGATTATTCATACATACTATCTGCAAAAAGTTTTTCTCAACAATGTTTTAAGGGTTTGCAAAATGCTTTTTTGAATTTCTTCTAATCATTTTTTTTTTTCTGTCTACCAAGAGAAAATTCATTTTAGCCAGTACTTCTTTGATTCAGTGTGGGACAGATTACCCCCCCCCCCCCACCCCACCCCGTTTGTGGTAGTTTGAATAGGAGTTGGGTTGGGTCCAGTTTTTGCATTGTACCAAGGTCTTTGTGTTGTTTAAATACTAGTTGCAGAATAATTATCCTTGGAGGCAGGGTGGAAGAAGAAGAAAATTATTACTTATTTGAGCATTGTGACCTATAGATATTTTATTGAATATCTTTCATGAAATATTCTGTAAAACATCATTTGTTATTGTAGACCCTTTTGGACAGATGTGACGGTCTTACAAAGGGAATAGAAGATATGCTGACAAGGTTGGCTCTTAACCTCCAATTCTGATTTATACAGCCTCAATACACACAGCACTTACGTTTATCTCTTTTTATTGCACTGACACTTAAAATATGCACAACTGGAAGGAATTATTAATAGTATTTGTTTTAATATATTATTATTTTGTTTGCTTTTTTGGCACAATATTTATGATTATCACTGTACAAGGGTACTCTAAAGGACTTGTGTCTATTTATGTTTGCATGTACACAATGCATTAGTTTTAGTACTTTTGTAGCTTTTCTGAACATAACAATATTAATTGGTAGTTTCATTAATTTCTGATTACAATTATCACAAAGCTATGGATTTTTTAAATGAATTACATAATTTGATTATCTGCTTAAAAAAATATTTGTGGATTGTAATCAAAATTAAGGAAAGTGCAGCTCTTCTTTTTCTTACTAACAAGTGAAAGTTTGCCTTTCTTTTACTAATGCATGGACCAGGACACTTGTTTGTTGGTTTGGTACTTATGTCAGGAATTTATTTTTCAATCTTCAACTTTGTTTGCACCGATTTCCTCAATGCTGAAAAATCATCAATATTATTTTAATTGGTTGCAAATGAAATCATTAACTAATATCATAGGCTTTACCGTCACTATTGTGCATGTTTCGTTTCATAGAAGGTTTGCTTTTTCTTTTCATGAAAAGTTTTCATCTTTAGTTGTCACTGTCACTTTGCTCTTTCAAAGAAAATGTTAGGAGCAAAACCAGACACTGGTTGAATTAATATAAAACAAAAAAAAGAGATTCCCAATTTGCAAGTGAAAAATCTGTATAAACTATGATTTTGTCCTCTCTGAATTCACTGATAACTTGAAATCTGTCTTTTATGTTGCAGCAATGGTGATAAAGACAGGTGATGATGCCCGAGAGTGTTAGATTTTAGAGCATTTTTTAGGAGTAGTAAAAAGACAAAAAATTAATTTTTACCTCAGGAATAAGATTTAAAATTTGGACCATTGCCCAGTTGTGTTGATCATGATGTTCATTGGATATTTATACCCTGAAAAAGAGGCTGTGATTTCTATTTTAAATGTTTGGCTTTGAAATACATGCTAGATCTATGACTATTTTGGTGTATATCATTTTGTTAAGTTGTCAAAATAACAGTATGAAATGTTATTTGGCCAGGCCTAACTTTAATGTGGCATTTGTTATGCTGTTTAGAATCAGCAGCAAGTTATATGAGCTAAGAAATGATCTAGCCCCCTGTACATTGCATTTGGCTTTTTTTTTCTTTTTTTTAATTGAAGTGCATTTAGGTAGAAATGGACATTCTGCCAAGAGAGACAACTCTCCATATTAATAAATTCGTCTTCAACGATTTGTCTCAAACATTGTCTTTTTGTACAATATACTATTGTAACAATACACGAAAAATTCTATTTATATCTCTTTGATATGGGATACAATTTACCCTGTGAGAAATCGTAGTTATAAAAACTAATATTTTGAAAATTTTCAATAGCAAAAGCTAGAATATTGTTAAGCAAAAATTAAAGTATGCCAACGGGGAAAAACATTCATGTTAAACATACCAGATAATCTCCGAAAGGTTTGGTGGTGAATAACAATGAGTGCTTCCTACTTTCATACAAAGAAATAATAGTATCACTCAAGTGCTTTTTTCTCTTTGCATAATGTGCTTGGTCATTGTCAACATAAATATACTTGTCATCAAATTCATAAAGAAACACCATCAATTTCCTTCATAGTTTTAATTTAACAAATGGTAATTTAGTGATTTGCAGTAGAGTGATGTGTGAAGTGACATTAATAAAAGCTGTCATTCTCAAGAGTAGATTACAAGAACTACAACTTGTAAATCAAATTGATTTGTTGTTATATTTTTATTGTTTTTATTAAGTATGATTAATAAAGTAAGTGTGAATCTATTAAACCTGATGTTTCAATTTTTTTTTTCTGAATTGAGAATGTCTTGTTGAAAAGATACATTTTAGAGAACCAATTGAGCTATATGGACACCTGCATTCAAACCTTACTAACCATCACATTCCTTCCTCCGTGAAGGCCCCCAAAGACACAAAGGTCGACCCTGGTTGGTCTTTCACATGCCACATCCAAGGTATGGTCATGGCACTAAAATAACAGGGAGAAAAATGTGATGGACCCTAAAGGGATTCAAACCTGGTCTCCATTTATCACTAGACAGGTGGTCTACTGACTGAGTTGTCAGGGTGAATATTATCTACTGCCCAAACCGTTGCATAATTATTTTGCTAGTATGGGACAGGGTCACAGGGGCGGCAATCGTTTATTGGTACATGTACTTTAGAGTTTTGCATTAGAAAGAGTATATTTGGGGTCTATTCTATTTTGCTATGAGAGCAGAGGATCTTTAGTTTCAAGACTCATAACTTTGAACTAAAAAGTCTAGACTCTTGAAGATACAAATAAAAATGCCAGTGTTTTATTTTATGATACAGTTCAAAGGCTTAGCTAGATTCCTGGAGAAAAGATTACAAAACAGATTCCATAATTTTCCATCCTGTATGGTAGTTGCTTTCCATGAAAAAGAATCATAATGCAGGAAGCTACAATGTAGTGAGTAATCCCCCTCTCCATCTTCTGCCAAATATTAGGTTAAAAAAGCCAGCCAAATAAAAATAAAAATGTTTAATATCGATGAATAATTTATTTTACCTGCAAATACAAAATAAAACATAAATCAAATCTGTTTTCACAGCAAATAAATATCTATATCTTTGAAATGTTCTTAATGCCAGTATACAAAGATGTCATGTACAACAGTAGACAGTTGTTTTCCAGGCATCAAAACATCACAAATATTAATCCCTGGAATATACCTGGTATAACTTTTTACTTGTACATTCTGTTGTTTTGCTGGACCTGCCATCAACAAAGAAATGCACTTACTCAGATACTTTAAAATTCCTTCACTTCCATAATTATCCTCATACATTAAATACTTTTTCAAAGTCAGTCTATACATTGTAGGTTTATCAGCTTGATAATTGACTTTCTTTTAATTTTTCTGCTCTTTCCATCTCCTCGAATGCGTCTTCTTGTTTCCTCCTTAACTCTGTGATTATTTTTTTTCTCTCTTCATTGTGTTTTCTCTTCTGTACCACAAGCCATTCTTTTACCACAAAGAATATGGGAAAAGATATCAATCCGACTAATAACCTGTAAAAAATATATATACATCTTTATTAAACAAACACCTAGAAGTTAACATACCATAATGCAGCTTGTAGTGCTTATCTTGAACTGATTTGCATTGCTATTTCATATCAACACCTCACTTCCCAACTGAACTAATAAGTGACGAGTGACCAGCTGACAAACAATTATGCTAAATAGAGCAGAAAATTGCCCCGATGTCGATATATACCAGGTAAATTTTGCTCTTTGGACTGTGAAATTCTTCGAGATATGCGGGATAGTCGATATTACCGAGGTCGACATACCAGAGTTTTTGCAAATTATTTATGTAGTAAATAATGCCGGAACGGCGGACGGACGTCGGCATATCCCTGGTCGTCGACATATCCGATGTCGAGATACCGAAGTTTACCTGTATCTTATCAAATATGCCAGGAGTCCTGGACCCCCGACTTTGCCTGGATGGAGATAACCACACCAAATTCTCACAATTTTTTAATTGTCTCCCCTTGGAAGAGAGCGTAGCCCTTTATTTGAATAACTTAAATCATCTCTAATCATGGATACTCTGTGCAAGTTTGGTTGAATATTGGTCTAGTTCTGCTGGGATGAAGATTATTGTGAGAAAAATTTCCAATGGCAGAAAATAAAGCGAACAAATTTCGAACAGAAAAAGAATTGAGACTTCTTGTTCGAATTTCCTCTCTCCCTTACGTAAGTGGCTTAAAATACTCTGCTCTTTTCAAGCTTTGCACTTACATTGAACCCATTACTTTTTTGGTTTTGAAAATTGAGTGCATGTCTCCACCACGATTTCTTTTTCTGTCCATGACAAATCACTTATTGCGTGCTTTATCCCTGTGAAAATGAGAGAAAAAAAGTCCGACACCACTTTGTTGACCCTATCTCGGTAAATTCAGCGCTTGAAACGCACGCTTGTTTTCGCTGCATTGAAGCGTTTTCTTGATGCAGATAGAATTTGGGACAAAATTTATCTCCGAATTTGAAGAGTGGTATCTTAGTCACTAAACTGTTTTAGGCTACAGTTTATGACAGTATCTTACTAAGCTCTATTTTGGTTAGATTTGATAATATTGCACACGATGGATCCTGAGCAAGAAGAAGTAGAAGTGATTGAAATTGATGAGAATGAACCAGTTCCAGATGAAGATGACGACGACGAAGGAGGGGGTTTGTTCATAATGTTTTGATTCTGAAATCAACCTGTGTTCGATCCGAAAGATATATGTAAATATATCCTGGCGTATTGTATTTTCGACCTATTTAGATGTTATTTATTAATTATTGTAAACTTTACAGAATCTGAGAAAATAAGGGCTTAAAATGTTAGCATTATGTATCTATAAATAAAATGATATAACCCATATTGCAGTTTTGTGTTTATTTTATTTATGTGCCATAATATGGAGAGGGTACAGTTTTCCTTACAAAAACATAAACGTCTTGTGTTTTCGACCTAAATATAGTATAAATATAGTATCAAGGCCAAATCAGTATTGACTATAAATATCCATTGGATATTCCAAACAATAAAAATACGATTGTCTGTCTTTCAAAAAAACATTGAACAAGTTGCATATTTTGGTTACGAATACATTTATTTGTTGGTTGAACCCATCTGTCAGTAGCTGTGCATTTCCCAAAAAAATCAATGAAATTACGTTGCATTTTTCAGTAAAAATCTGTAAGAAAGAGCTCATATTAAGGAAGAAAAAAAAATTGTTTGATTCACCCATTTATTTCAATATTCATGCGTCTCTTTGACAGAGATCTTAATTTTCTTTCGGAAAAATGTCATCAAAAAATCTTTATAATTAACCGATTACGACTTTAATTAATCAACAGATAAAATGTGCATTAGTAAAAAGACTAGAATTTCTGACATCGGACTAAAACCATCGGGGGAATTCCGTTGAATTAATTATTTTGGATATTTTCACCACAGTTGTGCTTCAAAGGTATTTTTCTAAGTGTACCAACCGAAAATAATGTTCTACCGCGCGGAATCTGCACGGGAAGCAGATTGGGAAAAATAGGTCGAAAATACAATACGGTCGAAAACAGGATACAAGACGATACATTGTTTTACAGATCAGCTGTCAAACAAAATTGCAAAATTTCCCATTTACCAAAAAGGTTTACATAGAGAAAACAGAGATAATCAGACAGTGCAGCAAAATTAAACTAATCAGTATGTGAACTTCTGGACGTACCCTATTCTCTTTAGAGAAGTGGACAGGCTTTTGCGTAGCGAAAGCCTGTCCACTTCTCTTAAGAGAATATAGACATACCCTAGGTAGAATGTTCTATCGTTAGAATGACATGGTGAAGGCTTGTCCTGAGACACAGTTAGATAATTCTAACCAGACAAAACCAATTAACATGCTAAATTCTACACCTTTCTAGTTAGAATAATAATATAACTTTGTCTCGGGACAAACCGTCACAACAGTTAGAATACTTCCAATACACTTGCAATGTAGCAAATCAAGAGGATTCCCTCCAATGATTTAAAGATTACAAAAGGGTTTGTGCTGAGAATAGCTATCAAATTAATCATAAGAAAAAAATTCCGCGCTTTTTTCTTGCTTTAAATTTACACGCCATGTTTATATTCAGAACTCAAGATTGTTGGTAGTAAATGCACAGACTTTGTCAAATAACAGTTACCAGTACACAGAATGAATTCAATTGTTAAACCGGGTCCATAGGAAAATATATCGCTTTAACGATAGAATGTTCTATCTAATACCTCCTAAGCCCAGAGGCCAAAGGGCAAGTTACTAGGTTACAGTCACAAAATATTTACCTTCATGAAAAGAATAAACAGACACGTAATGTATCTCAAACCTGTATTGTACATGTTGAAGGGATAATTTTAAGACATGTTTAATTAGGGATGTGTGATTTTATCGATATATATATACCGGTATATTGCGATTTTTTATTGCTTGATACGTATCGTGATACAGAGACCTAAATACCAGTATTTAGGTACATATTTAAAGTCCAGGAATTATTCATTTATTTGTTCAATCTTTTAAATTACAATTACAGAAAGTCTTAAAAATGTTGTAAAAGGTGATAAGAACGGCATCTTACCATCCAAACATGATTAATTTTATGTACATATAAATTTGAAAAAGTTAAATTTTGTTTTTCTAGCATATTTATAGGAAAAATAATGACTATTCATTTAAAATCATTGCAAAATTTGCTTAATATAAAAATAACATGATATTATCGT